GGACTGCAGGACGCAACTGAGAGGTCAGGGTGGCAAGACGTCATCGCCTTCCCTCGGGACATGTCACAGGAGGGACTAAACCCTGAGGAGGAAGTGGCAGCGGGGGAAGAAGACCCTCCGTGGGGTGGGTTGGCACGGTGGCCACCACAGTGGCTGCAATGGAGCAGTGGCGAGGAGGTGGCAGGGTTGGGCGGTGTTCCGTTCTATTGTCCACGGGACCGCTTAACAGCGATGCATGTTTTCTCAAGGTCTGACTCTGGGGTCCCAGGCGCGGAGCACAGCTCACAAACCACTGAGCATGGGCTTGGAAGCCCTCCATGCCACCCCCTTGCAAAGGGGGTGCCTTCCAGCGAAAGAGCCGCCTCAAAATGATATTGCAAATTCTAGAAGGAATTTCACATCTTCCGGAACAGGGTGGTGGGGTCGGGGGCAGGAAACGGGGGAAAGGATAGAAAAGAAAGGAGCTACAGAAAGATGGGGCTCTACTGCACAACCCTGTGCAGTAGCATCGTTGGCTGTCATGGAAACCGCAGGGAGCCAGGGGCCAGGGCTGCCGGAATCATCTGAGGCCCTCGTCTCGCAGTTGCCCGTCTTTCCTCCCACTTCTTGACACGAAGGCCTCCCAGCTGGCCTAAAAAGCTCCTCACGTTTCACCTCAGATAAAGGGAAGTCAAACTGAACAGCCATTACCAAAAGAAAAAAAAAGAAGGCAAAGAGTACCCTGGAAGGTGCCTTTTGGGCAGCCCCAAAGAAGACAAAGATCCCCAACACATTATTTCCTCACTGCCCTATGTCTAGTCTCTTGGAATCATGTTTACTTCATTCCGGGGAATGAATGGCCTCCCTGTCTCGCGGCAATCTTTGCGTGAATGGAAGGGTGGGGTGACCTTTTATCAGGAAGCACAATGGGACTGTACAGCACTGCCCAGGCAAGTTGGACAGAATGTCCGCACCTGCAAACTTCCGACACTGGCCTGCAGATCATTTCCATCCAGCTCAGCATTTACAGCACTGCGCACCCGGGCCAAATGCCAGCTGGGTGTTGTCAGAACAATTCACATGTTGCTAGCTTCTTCCGCTTCCTAAAAACAGTAGTCATACCACACACACACACACACACACACACACACACATAAATTTTAATGCTAAAGAAAAGTCAAATCCTGCCACCCCCACCCCCTTCTCCATCCTTTTAAAGAAAAAGCGGAGATAAGTTTTCACAGTGCTTCCGATCATGCACGTACCCACACAGGACAGCTGGAGCACTGGAAGACAGGCTCTCTTGGGGATGAGGCATCTCGGTGCACACAGCCGGAACTCGCTGAAAGTACCCCCCACTCTTAGGGGGCAGGAGTCCAACCAGAACCCAGCCCTCCCTCGTGTGTGTGTGTGTGTGTGTGTGTGTGTGTGTG